AACGCAAGTCGGACTTAACTCAGAAAGGAAGAAGGCTCTCGGAGAACGATGTTTCTCCTCGCTCATTATAGCTGCTTGTGGTGTGTCAAAGAGATCCCATGATTTTACGCGCAAAGTGATATAATCTCTCGATCGTTTTCTCTACGAATGGAAACGAAGAAGGAAATATCCCGAAAAATGACACGTTTGTTGAAATTGCCTTTTTCTTTTCAAGAATGCTGCGAAAGAAGACGGATCATCCTATTAACGATCCTACGAGAGAATTCGCATCTACCCATATAGAGTTCTACAATCGACCCAGTGGCTGAGCCATTACTGGTTATCATAGTTCAGATACTGGTGCAGTATTGACTAAATACTGGATGATGACTTGGACTCAGTACAGGCTGAATCTTGACCGTCAACAGCCAGTCATTTGCCAGTGATGGCCCAGTACTGGTTGACAGAACCTTGGCTGTCAGTTGACAGTCGTAGCGTTGGCTAAGTTTTGATTTCGTTGTAACTACTACTAGCGATCCTATATGGGTATTTAAGTTTGTTAATTTAGACCGTGTGATGCCGAAGGCTCGAACGAAGGTGAAGCCTTCGCTATACAGACATCCGTGCGCGGATATGAGAGATTCGTTTAACACACCTTTAGGCACCGCGATTTACTTATAGTACAACCGACGAGGCGCAGGAGAGATGCGCGATCTCTATCGCTGATCTCTACGTGTAATCATTTCGCAAATACTGGCTTTGTGTCCCTTTAAATCTCTGACGTAGACACATACAGAGAGACATCTCTAAATATACAGGGTGTCGCGCCCACCCTCGGAAGTTTCACGCAGAAGCCGGTAATACCGGGTGTTTACGCGGAAACCACGACGTGTCTACGCGTACTGTATCCAAATCACACACACGTAGACACGATACAGATAGACACGGAGTAGAATACAGTGAATCAACAGGAAAATGAGAAGTGAAGATGACTATTGTCTCATCCATCTATACTATTCTACGATTCGATTATTCTGTAGATTATCACGTAATCTGATTGTAAACGCGTACAGAATTGTCACGGAAAATGAATTTTAAAATTTCCCGACTTTTCCAGATTTTCCAGATGAAAATGGAAAATCTTCCATGACTAATATAAAATATGTAAATTTTAACGTTTAGACTCGAGGATTGTAGGAAAACTAGTTTATATTATTATAAATAATACGAAAGAGCTTAATAACATAATAAAATTTTAGGTGCAAATTCAATTTGACAAAAATTAAATTAGTTTTGGAAAAAAGAACACAATTATGACGAAAAAAAGGGATCAAGTAAAAATACTGAATAAAATATAAATTTTAATTATTTTATTAAAATTGTTTAAAGTGCGCAAGTTTTGAACGTATTCGATTATAAACGTCAGATATAATATTTAAAAAATTATAACAATTATTTGAAATAGGAGCAGTTTAAAGAAATTGTCAGCAAATTTCAATTTCTCTGACTTCCCAGTTTTCCAGGTCTGTGACAACCCTACGCATAGTATGAATAGATGGGACGATGGTCATCTTTGTTTCTCACATTTTTCTGTTAAACAAGGTTCATTGTTATTATTAATACATGAAACAATTAGCATAGACTGAAGATTAAAGTTTCTTCCGATTATTGCTAACATCACGTGATAATACTGCACAGTTATTTTTATTGATTTCGTCTATTTGGATTACGATTGGTTTGGATACTTTACGCGCAACTGGTGAATCATTCCCGATTCTATGTGTGTACATCCGAATCTACACTGCGTCGGCTCTCTTTTCATGCTGGGATTGCTCGAAGCGAGAGGTGGGAGAACTTGATGACGTTGCGAATCGAGAGATTACAATGTGCACTTGTTTAATTTTATCCAATTTTATCCAATGTTGAATTTCTAGGAAAATAATAATCGGCACCACCGAGGTGTACTATTACTCTACAGCGAAAAACATAGTCTCCTCGCACAAATGTTAAAGAAAAACAGATCCGTGTGAATGTATCTCGATTACGCCGGGATTATTCGAATAAAAGATAATTTTCGCTCGCTAATAACTGTTCATCCCTTAGGAATTTAAAGAAGTCTGTATAAACGATACTCGCACGTGACTTGTGACGTAAATATAAACTCGTTACAGTTTAGTATCCCCTACATCTTTACGCGATAATATTTGTGAAGTCGACAATTCGTTATAAGAGAAACACAATCACGATGAATGACATTTATATATCTGCATTTACGATTAATCTTTCATAGAACCAGCAAAGGCTTGTTGTACCCGGAGATAAATTCACTTTTCGTTATCTATAAAGACGAATATCGGAATGTCAGTTGAACGAAATCGCATCGGCCATGATGGAATCTCATAATTTTTTTTTATAAAAAGAAAGAGTGACTTACTCGCACATTCCTAGATACAACACGTAGTCTTACGGAAGTGCGAGATACTTGCCGATGTCGCGGGCAGATATTGTCGACCCGCCGATCAGATTCTCGCTTCTTACGCACGCGCTATGCTATCGGTTGCACGAAGTAAAAGGAAGATACGACGATGAACAGGGAAGAACGGGGAAGGGGGGGGGTGCGATCGGGCACATCGCGCAACGACGAAAACACCCCATTCGCGAACCGTTCGTCGGAAGAGGCCAAGATTACCCTCCAGACGATTTCCCAGGTCCGAAATTGGAGGCACAATCATTTTGCCTTTGATCGCGCCTTTGACCCCTTTCTCTTCGTTATTCACCATCAGACCCCGAAGTAGGGATTTTCATCAAATCGGTAAACGCGCTGTGTTGTCTCTCGCTTGAGGGTAGCGTCTCCCGTCGTGTTTCAAAAAATAAAATCGTCCGCACTTCTTTTTTTTTTTTTTTTTTCTTTGCTTTTTCACTTTACTCTTTTTTTTTTCTCTCTCTCTTTGTGTGAGCACGTTCTGCGTGTCTTCGTCGTCTCCTCGTCTTCCATCCGCGGAGGTCGACGACACCGCAGCTCTTCGACGGATAGGTCGACGGATAGATTTCCAGGCGCGGCGACGCCGATCTCTTCTGAGCAATATACGTGGGACAGCCCCGTGCCGCATCTCGCCGGGAATCCTCCCTGAGCGAGGGATCGACCCGGGGGCAGCGGAAACAGGAAATACGTTGAACGTGGTATGCGTGCGACGCGACCGCTTCGCCGATACTTCGTATCGCGAGCCTGCGATCGCTCTCGGCTCGCACCCGCGTCTGCGTCAATCTTCATCCGGGCTGCGGATCATCCTCGCGAGAAAACTGCGCTGAATTTAGTTCACTCCTTCGTTCGCTCACTGTTTCCTTTTAAATTTGTTTCAAAAGCTTCGAGTCTTCAAAGGTGCAAGTATGGCCGCAGTGGCGCAAAGTGCCCTGCCTTCTGTGCCAAAGGAATATCAAAATCCATCCAGAACGCGTATCAGATGATTTTATTCGGTCGTTATCTCTCGGAAAGCAATGACAAACCATCTAGATCACATATCTTTCAGTAGTAAAATAATCTACGGCGTTAAATATGAGGAATTATCTAAATTAATTTTAGATAATGTTCTAATTTTAGATAATTATAGATTCATTATTAAAACTGTAAGTCCCGTATGCTTGTGGCAATTGAATAATCAGCACGCCATAAGCATATGAGAGAGGTGTAAGAAGAGGATTCATTATATTTTGCGTCGCAGACTTTTTTACTCACTACATTAAATTTAAATATAACATTGACTATTTTTTAACTACCTCGAAAATAAATTTACCATTGGCAAAGATATTCTTGGTTTTTCATTGACTTCCGAGAGATAACGATCGAATAAGATTATTTGATGTGTATTCTAGGAAAATTCAAACCTCCTCTTTTAGACAGAACAGACGCGCCACGACGGTCCGTCATCTGTACTTTTAAAGACTCGAAACTTTTTAAACGAATTTAGAGAGAAATTTACTGATAACTTACATTGAATATTTCGGCGAGCGTTGGCTCATTTTCTTCGCAAAAAGAATAGCTTGCCCGGATAAGGACTGAGCCTAGCGATACCAATAAGACATCTCATGGTATATTATCAGCGGTAGAAGAGCAGAGGGATACACTTCTCTAAAATCCACTGATATAATTAAATTACAACGTGAGTCCTCTTACCTTTCCAATTTCCGCGACAGCTATCTAACACTGTCCTTTTAAATTAGGATATATATATATATATATATATATATATATATGAGGTAAATAAAAAAATATGATAATTCAAACACGAGCATTCGAGGCTTCGGTCTGCGTCACTTGGTACCGCTAGGATTGATAAACCTGCCAGATACCAACAGGTTGTTCTATACACCCGAAAGATCATCGAACGTTCGACACCTTTCTAGACACGTAACTTTCAATATATTTTTTTTTTTTTTCCAGCATCGAACATTCCGCAGCCGATCCTCGTGTGCACCTTATGCAGGCTTGAGGAGGGATAACACACGACGCAGCGAGTCAGCGCCGATCATTTCGTTTCACGTGGAAAACTGAAGCGAACCGGCATTGTTCTCGGCGTGCCTCGGTGTGTTACCTCGCCGTTATCTCATCTTACGGTAATATTTACTGGATCCGACGAACTATCCGACGTTAATTTCGCAATGACGGACACATTCGCGGTCCAACAGTGCGCGATCTCGCGCAACGTAGATATATTTATACTTATAAACTTTACGCCTCTTTTTTTTCTTTCATTGTTAACAGGCCGTGGCTATACAGGGCCCTCTACGCTTTCAATTCAGTCTGTGGCACGCGGTCTTCCGAGCAGTGAGTACGATGTGCATACATGCATGCATACGTGTGTGTGTGTGTGTGTGTGTGTGTGTGTGTGTGTGTGTGTGTGT